TGCGAAGGTAGACTGCTACACTTGTGCTCTGAAGATGATTATTTATTACTTAACAAACCCCTTTCTTTCCAGATTACTGCCTGACCCTGCAGTATGAGAAAGACATATTTGGTGCCTGTAAATATTTAGCTTCTTGTCTTTTCCTAATATCAATGCCCGAGTCAGGGCACTGAGCTCTGATTTTTAAGCAGAGGTTCCAGGGTTAGGTCATTGGCCTCAATGATATGTTGTGTATAACAACTGCAAAACCTACCTTTAGATGTCCTGTTGGACAAAGCTGTTGCATTAGTGAACCATAGCTCCTCAGGGCCTTGGACGGGCAGGTCACTGACGTCCTGCCTGCTTGCCTAAGTCTGGGGAATTACTCATTCATCAGTGGCTAATTCCTGAGCCTGCAGGCATCAATAAGCAGAATTCAGAGTAGTGTGTCTTTGTGGTGACTTCAGAGGTGTCCAGAAACATGGCCAGGTACTTAGTAACTACCCCCTGTCAACCAAAAGTAACTTTTTATCTCAAGAATAGCCCTGACTCAGTTGGAGACGGGAGTTCTAGTTTTTGTCCCAAAGTTGGTTTGTGCTTCTTCTATTAGCAGAGCTGTAGCTGCTATTGCCCTCCAGCAGGGTGACCATCCATCCATCTTTTTGGAAAAGTATGCGACTGGGCAGAGTTCCCATCCTAACTTTTGGGTGAAGACATCCAGAGAAATTCCTCTTTTTTTCCAATACATAGAAGAAGAAGGCTTTTTCTTAAATTAGACAGTCCTAGTGCTGGAGCTGGAGTAAGAAATGCTTTATTTCTTGAAGAGCATTATCAGTCACTTTCCTCCGTTCTAAGGCTCAGACTCAGGACCTTTGTGAGTCCAATACAGAGGCTTTGCCACTAGTCCAGAATTAGGCACCCAGATTTGGCAGAAGCAGGCCATTCCCAGGAAAGAATGAAGCTGTCCCTTGGTGGCAGGGTGTCTGAGGTCATAGATAGCCTGGATTTGCTCCCTAGACAGAGGCCATTCCCCAGAAGTAAGAATGTATCCAAGTATTTAACTCTTTGAAGGGGTGTCTGAGCCTTTTCCTTTGAACTTTAATATCACTTTTTAGCTAGAAAATAAAGAATTGAACGGTGTTATGGTACCTCCTAAGTGGGAATGCAGATTTGAACATCATCTGCGTACTGTAGGGTGGCTCCTTGTTTAAACTCTAGGTTCCTTAAATTCTCTTTCCCAGTGCCCAAGAAGAGGTGGTCGCTGTCTTTAAAGCCCCGTGGGAGTACAGTCCAAGTATATTATTGTTTTTCTTTTGAGGTGGGATTTTTCATATTCAAAGGCAAGCAGGAATTGGGGTTCAAATGGAGAGGAATTAAAAAAAAAAACCCACCTTTGCAGTACAGGATCAGAGGCCCGTTTGTCTCCCGGCATTTGGGAGAGGATTATATGTGGCTCTGCCACTAGGGGGCGGATCAGGATCACAGCTTCATTAATGAGGCCCAGGTCTTATATCATCTGGTATTAATCATCCTGAAGGTTTTACTGCAGGGAGAATGGGGGACAGGTCGCAGAAGGTCATGTTTGAGAAACCTGTCTACGAGTGGCTCAGGGCCCTCACCAGCCTTTTCTCTGAAAGGATACTGCTTTCCAATGGGAAACTGACTGAGATCCTTTAATTTTGTAACTACCGGCATCACTGAATTTACCCTCCCAGGGATTCCCTTAAAACAGAGCAACCTGCTGGCTAATTAAGTCAGGGAGGCCTGGTGTGGCCCCACCAGGTAAAATCCGCTTTGGCCTTTGCCAGAATTGGAGAGCAGCCCCCAATTTTAATAGTAAATCTCTTTCCAACAGAGTGGGACACTGTGGGACAATGAAAACTCAGTTGAACATTTACCAGCAAATTCACAACAAAGGAGTAGAGAAGCTCTGACGAGGGCTCCTGCTGACCCTGGTTATGGGTATAGATCTTGTGGAGGGTTGGCTGGAGATGGAAGTTAAAACCAAGTCTGCTGTCCTGTACTTATAAAGAACGGAACCTGCTCAGGGTTCTGGGCTTCTCGTAGGAGGTGGCAATGCTCTGGCCTGGCTGTTGCAGTTTGTCCCAGCTCCTCCCGACCCCTTTGCTGGAGCTGCAGGAGGGCTCTGGTTGCCCTCGCCCCTCTCTGACAGTGGGACCAGCCCACCCTGCAGTGCCGTGGGCCAGTCACGCCAGCAACCTGACACAGCAGGGCCCCAGTGGTGGCACTGTGCAGGTGCACACCCAGTGTCAGCCTGCATTTCAGATAGGAGTTCACTCCTTCATCTGGCTTGGGTTTTCCCTCGGATAGCTTGAGGCACTGCCCATGGCCTGGGTTACACTTTCCCCTGTGTTCTTTGTTCCTCTCCTATCTACCCTCTTCCAGACATGGATCAGGGAACACAGAAAAGGCTGTGTCTAGCAATTGGGCCAAAGGGGTCCTAGGACTCATCTGAAGTTTATAATCGCTCTGAATACCTGGGGCTGAGGGACAAATAAAATGTCCCATTAGTGTGTGTCCCTCCTTGGAAGGTGGATCCAAGCTTATAAATTTACAGAAAGTTTCTTCTAATCAGCTATGAAAGACAGCTGGATATTCTCTTTGCCCTGTGTAATCTTTCTCATCTTTTGTTTTGTTTTGAGACAGGGTCTGACTTTGTAGTTCAGACTGGCCTTGAACTCACAGTGATCCTCCTGCCTCAGTCTTCCAAGTGCTGGAATTGCAGGTAAGCACCACCACACCCAGCTCACCTTTTTATACTTAACAGGTTTCCTAGTGCACTTTTAAATTTTAGACCACACGTCTAGTCCACTGGTGGTATTAGGGTCCCACTTTGGTTCAGCTGGAGGGACTTGCTGGGCCATTCCCAGATGCTCCTGCAGTATTTGCCTACTTCCATGTCTCCTCAGCTCTTTCAGGATTCTCTGTTTTTCATCTAGGGTAGAGCAAGGAGCCAGGACAGATTAGACATCTCACCATGAGGAGTCAAAAGCAAAGGACAAAGTCCGAAACCCATCCAAAAACCTACTAGGATCTTCTGAAAAATGGCCTAAATGTTTTTGGCATTGTTGGATGTCTGACACTCTGAAAGGGGCCTGGACTCAGTCCCTTCTACTCCAGTGACTGCTCTCAGGGGCAGGAAGAGCTGTGAGTGAGGAGAGCAGGAAGCTCAACTCTGAGTGGGAAGCTCCTCTTGAGGGGCCTGAGGAGTACAAGGAGAGGCTGGAGAGAGCTTGGTTTCCCTGGAGAGCCAGCTGCCTCTGGAGTTTCTGACTCACCTGGGGAGAATAAGGCTGGTTCGCTGGCCTGAGGATTACAAGGAGGAGGCTGTGGAGACCTTTGGAGAGACCCGCATCTCCCTGAGAGACAGGTGGGAGTCTAAAGATGGTTCATCAGTGACATCACTCTCCTGCTCGGGGCCTCTTTAGGGCCACATCTCATGGGCCTTTGCAAGGGATAGCTTTGGCTAAGGAGCCATAAATCCCAAACATAAGAGATTTCAGGCCATTTGCCTTGCATTTTGCAGAAAAGATCTTATTGAAGAATAATTTTATAATCTAGGCTGTTATTTTCTAGCCATTTCTTCTGATCCCCTAGTTTATACTGGGGCCAAACTATGTTGTGATAGAAGATGAGTTTTTTTTTCTTTCTCAGACTGCAACTGTCAAATTGTTTCCAGCTATTAAGGACACAACCTAACAGTGAGGCTGGTGGGGTTGACAGGGCATTTCTTGCAGTGTTTCATGAGGTCTGTGGAGAGGAGAGAAGACTAGGCCTGGCATCCTTCTGAGGGCATCAGCTGTTGAGCTGTGGGGCAACCCCCTAATGGTTCTAGTTTCCTACAGGTGTCTCTGATGAAGCAAGTGGCCCCCATGCCTTTTATTTCTTAGCCCTCCCCATAGCATACATAGCCAACTATGACTCCGTAAGTCCAGAATGGAGGCCCTCCTGGCTGCCTCCAGCCAGTTGAGAGAAAATATGTTTTCCTTTTATCCCAACAACAAAGGACTTTGGCAGTTTTTAAAAAGTGCAATAGAGATAGAAGTTTATTCCTCAGCATTTAAGAAAGAGCCTTGGAGAGCTCCAAGCACAAAGGTTGGTACTGCTTCTTGTTTGCTGAGACACTGCTCACCTTCCCCTTCTCAGAACGAGCCCCTTCCCATACTCCCAGTGGGCTGACCTTATTGTCTTTTCCCTTTGTTCCACCCAGGCCCTTAGGCAGATTTGTTCCTACATTACCTACAATTTAAAAGCATGAATAGGAAGGAGATTTTCCCAGATTTCAAATGGAAGAAGGGAGGAGACCTATGTTTCCCAAAAGTAGAGACCTTATCTCTTGTCTATAGGAGTGAGGTTTCCTGGCGTCACGTGAGAACATGTGAGAACCTGCCAGAAAGGTGAACTGAGATATCTCCCTGAGCTTTTAGGGAATAGGCCCTGAAGCAGGTGCCTCACTAAGGATAACAGGGACAAAGGCCATCTGGGGGAAAGGCCCAAAGGGGACTCTGATGGCAGTGAGTGAAGAAGGAGCAGACTGAGGGCTGGGCGGCTGCTCCGCAGGAGACCAAGCCGTTAAACGTTGTGCCCCAAAGACAGTGAAACAGCTGAATGATGTATTGAAAAGAGTAAACGTATGGGAGCGAAAGAGGCCTATTAAACTTTAGGTTGTCAAAAAAAGCCTAGACCTGCATGGAGCCTGGATTCTGTCTTGGGCCCCATGGAACCTAAAATGCTCTCCTCCACAACCAGGTTACCCCGTCATGGCTGTCTTCAAGCAGCTGTCTTAAAGGCTCATAACTGTCTGACTCGTGCCCACAGTGAGTGACCAGAGACATAAAGGGCAAACAAATGGGAAAGAAAGGAGAAAAAAATTTTGCCAAAAGAAGTCTTGCCTCCTTTCTGGCTTGCCAAGAAAAGTTACCAGGTAGGAGGTCCTGGGGAATTCTCTTCAGGTCCTTGGTTTCCTGAACATAGAATTGGACAACACACACAAAGGCAGTGAGGGTGTAGTTTTATTGAAGGCAGAAAAAAAAAATTATGCAGGGAAAGAGAGGGCTGGTGAAAGTTCACAGCTGTCCCGACGGTAATATTTAGTATCTAAGACCTGGATTGGCCACCACCTCATGCAGATATGGCACTGGTAAAATTGTTTTATCAAAAACCCACTTGGCCTCATGCCTAATGTGAATTTTCCTAAGGAAAAATTTTCTGGGCCTCTTGGCAGATGCAGATGTAGATGAAGGATCAAGGACAGTGTCTTTGATTGGCTTAGCTAATGTGTAAATGAAGGATTTGAGAGAGCACTTTTCTGATCCGTCCCGCGAACAATGTTCAGGAGCCGTCCACCTGGAGTCACTTTGGGGCCTGAATTCTGCGCATTCTCTTTTTAGACAACACCTCACTCTGACAGTTGGCTGTGCCGTTTTGTGGCCTGTGACACATTCTGTCTCACTGGGGGCCGGTCGGTCCCATCCTACCTCAAAGGTGCGTCCTGATGTGGCCGTTGTGCTGCCTGCCCCATGCACGGTGCATTCTGTTGCTGGTCACTGCCCAAGCACGATGCACTCTTGCTAATTCGGTTCCTCCAGGCTGTGGGGTGTGCCCAGAACCCCACCTCACATCACGCCTTGTGTTCAAGTCTCAGCGCAGACGCTCCATCCACTGAAAAGCTGCTGTCCCGAGACCGGGCTGCTCTGCGTGTCTCTGCTCGCCTGGAATCCTGGCCACGCTTCATCTCTGACCTCACCCTCCGGACTTGCGTGTGAAGCGTGAGTCTCTGGCGGCTATGGGCTGCCTCATGTTGTCAGGAGCAGATGCTTGTTACACAGAACTTTCCGCTCTAGGAGCTCTGGTCCAGGGAAGCCAAAACTTTGGGGATGCAGCTCTGATGGCTGTTTTGTGGCAGGGAGGGCTCCGGCCCCCCTTAAGTCTGGAGGGGAACAGGGATGGGGGTAGTTTACACACCTCCCCCTCCCTCCCCACACAGGAGAAGCAAATCTGAAGTCTTGGGTGCTGACCGTGACGGAATGTGTGGAGACACCTGGCTTGGTTTCCACAAGGCTTTTGGGATGCGGTGGGGAGACACCTCGCACAGGGAGTGGCCTCAGGGGTGCGGTTCTCTGGCCCCGCCCTCCTGGGTCTCTGCTCCAGAGGTCCCCCGAGCTGGGCCTGGGAGGGTTCCAGGGCCTGGTGACTCGAGCACCCACAGAACTGGGCCATGGTTGAAGGCCCCATCTTTTGAAAGCTGAATGGCCTCAGACCTTACGTTATTTAAGAAAATCCCCCATAAGTCCCAGTAGCTTGCTTGAACGGAGCTTTTAAGGACAAATAAGGCCAGACACTAAAGCATGAACACAAACTTGTTCATCCTCTCCAGGATGGGGTGGCAGCCGAGGAAGCCGGGACTGGTACAGGGGTGAAAAGCTGCAGCGGGGCGGTCAGCGAGAGTCCGACTCCGCAGGAGCTGCTGGGGGACAGGCCCTTCCTCCATCTCAAAGGAGGGTCTTTCTAGGAGATCCTGCTTGGCCTCAGGAGGCCCACGAGCCGGCCAGTCCCTCGGTTCTCGACCACGGCAGACAGCTGCTGCTGGCGGTTCCCGAATCTGTCCGCCTCGTGCGCCCCTTCCAGCAGCCGTGCCAGCCGGAGCAGGGCGGAGAGTGGCTGACAGAGGCGCTGCAGGGACAAAGAAGGAACAG